TTGGGGGTTTTTTGGGGTGGAGGGGGTGTGGGCTATTGTTCCTTTTTGTTGTTGTTGTTGGGTTGTTGTTTTTTTTGGGGGGGGATAAAGATGAAATTCATAATCCCTTCCGGTGTTGAAACGGGCTTTAAAACCACTACCACACCTACCAAAGCATGCCATAAAAGATGTCTCACTGTCATCATCTGGGCTTTCCTATCCTCGTCCTTCCAGCCTTCCCTCTCCAATGGTTTTTGTGCTCAGTTGGTATCATGCTGAACTACGAGCGGGCGGTCCTGGTTCGAATCCTCCAGGGGGATGGTGAACTTTCTGTTTGTTTGTTTTTTAGGTCTATCCACCCATGTGGCTTGGTCCAATCGGAGGTCCCGTATCTCAAATAACCTTGCAGTGTTGAGAGGGGCATCAAACCAACAACATGGCCAATGCTGGCAGCATTTTTATTTTTTTTAACATTTTCCCGGGAGATAGCATTAAAGTGTTATCCCTGATCTTGCTATCTGTCTGTCTCAATATAAACTGATACAGCAATTCTAATTGTGATAACATGCAATCAAGGAGCCAATCCATTTCGACGAGTAGGGCGTTGACATCCCGTTTGTCTAGTGTTTCGCAATGATTTCATCATTAGGAGAAGAATGCCGAGTACTCAGAAATCAGTAACGCTATAGGGTGCTTTTTAAAAAAAATGTTCGTTTGATGAGGAGAGGCTGTGCATATCTGACAGAAACAGTGATAAGACTATATTATAGTCAGTCAGGTGTTGTTTGGGGTTACTTTTATCAACTGCTTCACTGCTGTGCAGACGTATAATTTTATGTTCTTTTGTGTTTTATGAAACGAGTCCATTGCCATTTTTCCCCTACTGGTTGACAGAGGACAATATTTTTTAAAGATGTAGCCTGTTGAACTTATGCAATTGCGTATGCTTAATAAAGGAAAATATAACATGGTTTTGTTTAAACATCTCTTGAATGAGCATTCAATCTATATATATATTGTCTGTACGAACATAAATAGAAATGCTTCAGTTCTGAAAGTGTTAAAGAAGAAAAGGAAAGCGGAAAGAAGAGAGGCTTCTAATTACACGAATCATTTTTTTTTTTTTTTTGGTGACAGTAGGCTTGTATTGCTTTGAGCTTGTTTTCGTCCTTTTCAATGCCATTTCGTTGTGTTTTTATCTGATGGTGTCCTAATAGCTTATTATAGTTGGCCTCTTCCTGAATTGCGTGTGGAAGAAGCTATATAGTACGTATCCCTCAGCTATGGAATGTTTAGTTTTAGTTTTAGTAAGAGTTTTACGGCACTTACAACACAAATTATTCATAAAGGCTTAGGTGATGAAGATTATGGTGCCGCTATAGAGAGTAACATACAAAGAAAATACGGAGGAGAGAAAGGAGCGACAGATGTTTGATTGGAAATAAAAAACCATGCCAGAAGAGCACCTATACCAACCACCCGTTACGGGCATAATTACTTGTATAAGTTGTATGGTGAGCTTTCTCGATCCTAAACCCACTTAACTCGAGTTTTTTTAATCTATGGTGGACGTCAAACTCATCAGTCTCTTATATAACGTTTCTGTTTTAGAGTAGGTGTTAAATAAGGTCTACATGTTTTATCTTATCAATATGATCCTTCATCCTCAATTCCACTCATACTAATTGATTTTTTAAATGATTTCGTAAAGAATACTTTACACATTTTCATGTATGTGGTTGGCGGGTGCTCTGGTGTGGTTTGCTTCTTCTTTCCTATGAAACATATAGTGTCTTTATCTCCCCTTCTTCTTTTTAATGTTTGATTACTCTCTTGTAACACCTCTAATCTTCTGGCGCTCAAATGACCTTATGCAGTTGCGAGCTCAAACACAGTTTTATTCACTTCTAAAAGTACTGTAATGTTAATTGAATGCCTTGTGAACGAATTATTCTTTGCTAAAAGCACGACGACAATCTAAATAATACTACTACTACTACTACTACTACTACTACTACTACTACTACTACTACTACTA